ACGAAATATTTATGTATGCATGTATTTGCCATTATGGACAATATCGCTTGTCTTCTAAGCGATTTTGGCCGAGTTCAAGAAAGAACGCCAGTTATTTATCTTCTGTGCCAACTGATGCCAATAGGAAATGGCGAGTGAAGCCAAGTCCTTCTCTTCTTGGTATTGCATCGCAGTGGGGGTCGGCTTCCCTCTTTCTCTGCTAGTCAGTGGGTTCCGAGTCGAGCGACATGGCCAAGCCACCGGAGCCGCTGTTTTTTTATTCGCTGCACCATGTACATGTCGTTGTAATGCTCATACAACCAGCGTTGACAGGTTGACGTTTTTAACGTCATTTGGACGTTTTTTGTGTAAAAATTGACGTTTTTTAACTTCCCAGTAATTTTTATCTGTTACTAAATCTTGTAAGTAGAACTGGTTTTGAATTACTTTCTTAATAAATTTTTACAAGCTTTGTGTTTTGCCGCAGCTGCTTCAAAAGATATTTATTCTTTGGACACAGATGACTGAAATATGATGCAAACCAAGTGTTCGCGTTTTTTCGGATTCTTGGACAAAGGCTGCTTGTGTAAACACTTGAGGTTACGAGACTAATTGTAATGTTTGCAATTGCTCATTAAAAGCCAAATCAGGAAGAGCTGATCTATTGCAACACGCACGCTCGCAAAAGCATCAAAAATGCTGTAGCAGCATAAAAAGTCTGAAAAAGTTGGCGACTTTTTTAAGACTTCATTGAAAATGTAACGAACACAAAAAAGGCCGAAATATTGCTATGCTCCTTCTTTGCAGAACCTAATTTAGTATTTTCGACAACCGACCCCCTAACCAAATGCCTACAAGAAAAAAAAAATTATTAAAAATCAACGCGATTATGTAGCTCCTTTAAAGTTGCTCTGAAATTTAGTGGGCTATCAAACTGCATACTCAAAAAAATTATAAAAAATCTGAATAAAAAGTTGAAAATATAGCTGAAACTTTGCAGATTTTTTATAATTTTTGCACAAAGTTTTAAATGTGGATTTATATTTTGTTTGTTATAAAATGAGCTTGGATTTAATGGAAAAAATAATAAACATTAAATAAACAAACGAAAAACAGCCAAAATCGATTAAAATGTTGATGCCTTAATCAGCTGATCACAAGTGTATGTACAAAATCATTTTTATATTAGCGATCTCAAACCAGTTTACAATGAATTCTAAATGTGCTGTGTAGAAATGACATTTTACTATACCTTACGTACATATGTACCTTTGTATGCAATGAAAGTTGAATAAGAACAATTTTTTGTACAATCATTTGAAAAAGACGTTTTTGGGTAGGAAATGACGTTTTTTCAGACCAAGAGGGACGTTTTCTCATGCAGAAGCCATGGCAACACTGCATACAACCCATCATTCCATCGTAGTATATTCACATGAATTCAGGTTGCGGTCGCTGAATTTGAATATGAAGTCAAAATAAAAAACAGAAAAACTGAAGCACAATAATTTTGTGTAAAATAATAATAATAATGGTTTATGCTTATATTAATTATGAGTTAATGGGGTCGCTAAATTCGAAATATAACTAAAAACAGGATGGCCGTTCCAATATGGCGCCAAAGGCGATATTAAAGGAAATGTGCTGAATTTGAAAAATGTTTATTAAATTCACGTAAAATTGGGTTACAAATATATGGTTTTCTAAGTTTGTGTTTAATATTCTTAAATAAAACTCGCGTCTTAAACAAAAAAAAGTCGAACACGGTCGGATTTAATATTTAGTATTATAGTTTAAAATACAATTATCGTGAAATGAACATAAACCTTTTATTGGTGAAACCTGGAGACATTTCATTATGACATGTTCTTTAAACTCTTTTTTATTAAATAAAAACTTCACTTGAATATTTCATTAAATACCAATCAGTTGATCCCACTAAAAAAGTTTAAAATTAAACCTTATATAGAACTGACCTGTGGAAGTAAAACTAATTTCACAAATTTAAAATCGATCGCCCCTATGGCTTTTGGCGTTCTTTTAAACGTTAGCATTACATTTTTACTTTTCAAAGCACTGCGTCAACCAACATTTTCACACTAATCATAGGAACAGGTGAAAAAGGCCGGAACCTGTTTTGGACATATTTCGATAGCTGAAACATTATTTTAGCCAACCCAAGAGAATAAAACTTCAAAATCGATACTTTATTTTTGATTGATGGGCACGAATTGGGGACCAAGTATCACTGGGCGGTACTTTGTAATTTGACCACTTTTTCGGAGGCGGTTCTCAATGAGCGGGAAATGTATTCCCACTGCTCGGAACATACCTAGTGTTGAACAGTGCTCTCTGAGAGCAGATGTGAGAGTCGAGTAGCGAATGCATTGGCCGTCTATTGTGGTTGCATCTATTCGACGTTGAGCTTTCCTTGCATTTTTGGAAACACAATTTTTCTGCACAGGGGCGGGTGCCTATGTATATCGGCTGCAACAAGCAAGTGGTCTGAGTTGTTGTTTCGCCCTAGCAGTGTACGTACGTATAAAACCCTGGAAGCGTGCCTTCCGTCTATCACAACATAATCGTTTAGGTCTCCCGTTTTTCGAGATTAATGGATATTTTTATGCTTGAACCTAGTACTAATCATACTACCATGTTTCGGACCCCGACGAAGTTGATAAGCCTCAGTCCGTTATCGGACGTTTCGTGTTGCAGGCCAAATATCGATATTTGGAACGGAAAGGATCCTTTCCTTGTCCACCTTGGTATTGAAGTCGCCAAGCTCGATTTTAATATTGTGACGGGGGCAGCGCTCATAAAAGAGATTCTTGGATGCTTTATCCTGATGTCCTTACGAGGACATCAAATAGCCGGGCAGAGCCACTTTCCAGATATTCCAGGTGCAAATCGTAGTTCTTTAAACGTATGCCGTGGTCATTATCAAAAGGGGGGTGTCATCAGAGGCTTAATTTGGTTTTCAATGGAAGGAATTTTTACATGTAGATGGGAATTGTTGCCCTTACTTGAAAGTTTTGCTCGAAAAATTTTGATTTCTTTTTTTTTAAATACTCTTAGTAATAAAGAAAAATTTTTTATCATCTAAATATTTATTATGGTATATGTATTAGAATGATGAACCAATTTTTTATTGCCTTTTGAACATCAAAAACAAAAAAAGGGTATTTTCTTACCACTGGTTGAATTAAATCTGTTTTGCTCAATTTTTTTTTCCTGTTATAAAAATATGAATATACCAAAAATATTTTTGCAGACGATGACTTAGGCGACGATTATCCGGAGATGCGTGAAGAAGTACACCTTGAGGATTTCTTTTGGACCGGTTCAGGCGATGGCCCGCCCGATTATCTGAAGAAGGTGCATACTGGCATTAGCAAGGGAAAAGATGTGATTGTTAAAACAGAGACTGTAGTAGCAACGGTTTACGTCGATGGTAATAACGTAAGTACACGAGCACATATTTACCAACACGACTTGTTTATACTTTGAATTCAATTTGCTCTCCACAGGAAATTGATATACCGATTTGTTTGGATTGCCCGCCAGATGATGGTGGTGGCACTTGGGGTACGGGCGCTCTACCCCCACTCAACTATTCAGCAACAGATCGTAGATATTGGTTATTAACAGTAATGTCTGGTTTTTATACGCAGAAAGATAATCCATCGTTGGAGGAAAAGTTGGCGCGTTTATATCGATTGGCGTTTACGAGGTAGTAACTAAGTGCAAAAGTTGCAAATTATTTGTTTCTCAATTATTATTTTTTATTTGGTTAATATTCTGTGCATTCAAACCTTATATTATGAAAAATATTACCATTATGTATTTTATGAAAATTAAGAAAAACATTGGCGTTTATATAACACTTAAACATTTTTGATACTATTTTTTTTATAAACGTTATAACTTTTCGTGTTCATCCGATTTAAGTTTTTAATATCATAAATTAATCACTAAAAATTTAATTACTTCTGAAAACCATAAAAAAATAGAAGTCGCCATTTTGAAAATATGGGATCTTCAATTCCTTATTATTTTTCTACTATTTTGTTTTAAGTCTAAATTTCCTGGGCTTGCTTATTCTCCATTTGAGTTAGATTATTTTTAATCTCGTCAATAACATCGAGGCCTTTTCGTAGAGACAAACCTTTGGTTTGCAATTTCTTTATCTCAGCTGAAATGCAAGTGAAGTTAGAGTTAATAAAAACCAAACCTGTTATTGTTTGTATAAATTTCTTTAGTTCAACGAATACCATTGGCATCTTCATCGCTGGAAATTGGAAAATAGTCAATAATTTAAGGATAATCGTTAACAGTAGCAATCTTTTTAGTAGTTTGGGGCGTGATGCGCAGATCTCAAAACTCCATATAAAAAAAGCTCAAGAAATTTTCGGCTGTTATGATCCCAGTCGGGAAAGTAGTAATGTATTACATGCGTGATAAATAATATAATGTATTTCTTATGCGATCTCGATAATATTACTGCTAACTATGTAATCAGCATTCTAATGTATTCAAAAAGTTCCAAAAATTTCATATTAAAACACATTCATTTCTCGATACTAGGTAATGCAAAATTGAATACCCCACTTTTCTTAGGACATCGCCCTGGGAAAAAAATGCATTTTGGAATATAAAAAGGGTTGCTTTACTGATTATTTTTTCGATTGCTATACATTACATTTTCCCACTGGGATGAGTTACCTTAGCCGCATTTAGGGTTTCTTACTTATCACCTCAAAGGATTTGGTCCTTTACGCTGTATGCGACTACGTCTAAATTGTTACCTAAATAAATAAAAATCCTAAATAACTGGAAATTGTCGATAATGCAGTGAATAGGAACAATTTAGATTTTTTTTCGAGTATTCTTTTCAACCTAAATTAAACTGTAAAATATATTTGGGCGAGCGATTAAGCGAACAATAATTTTTTTTAGAAGTTTTAATTAATTTTTATCATTGCTATTTATGGCACAAAATATAAAATTTTCAGAATTAGAAGATTTTGGAATAGGGCCCTTTGAGCTAGAAAAAAGAATAAGTGATCGTGGTTCGCCCCTTATTCCTGATTTTCATGGCATAAATTCTTTTTTTTTTGCTGCAAATTGAAAGAAGAGGTGCTAGGGGGTGCTAGGGAGGGTGGTAAAAGTGGAATTTAAGATATTTTCAACAGCTTAATTTTCGACAATTATTGAACTGATATTCAAAAGGGGGATAGGTTGGGAAGGTAATTGTTGTGCTTTTAATTTGCACACAACTTTTTATAATACGCGCACTATACTTATTCTGGTTTTCCGATATTTTCCAATCTCAGGCAACAGTCAAAGCACTTGGGTATCAACGGTGCACATCAAATCGCCGGAATAGCAATATCAGCGGGTGGCAGGAACAGGCGTGGTCATCAGAAAACCGGCGCGCCACCATTTGAGTCCACAACGCTAAAAGGTATGTAACGAGTTATTAATATTAATTAATTTTGACATTAAGTGCACCACACACACACTACTTTCATCAATTACAAACAGGCCTCGACGGTGACGCCGAGATGCTCGACATGGCTGGCGGCGATGTGCAAGCTAATCCGCAATCCTTACAACCAAAACGGAATGCCAACAGAAACACTGAGTGGGAAACGTCTTCTGAAGAAAACGGTGATTTTTTCCCTGGCACAAGCACCACTGAAGCTTATGATTACTCTATGTCAACTATTTTCGAAATAAATGGTACACACGAAGAAGGCGTCAGTATACCACCCATACCCTACATGACTATAGTGCCATGGGAGCTGATACAGCAGGATGCGAGATCAGAAAAACTTCAGGCCACGGCAGCGCTTTTGGATGCACAGGCTTCATTGGTACCGCTGCAACCACAAAACCCTTTGCTGCGTATCGCGCAAGTACGTGTGGTCATCCATAATATCACACGCTTGACAGAGCAGGAACTACGGCGGGGCCTACAGAGTGTGGGAGGATACGATGAGGATGTCAATGAGAAAATGTGAGTGTTTGAGGCAGAGTAGAATTTGCAGAGTCAATTGTGTTTTTCGCTACTCATTTTTTGCAGCGATCACCGTCCCATTGCAAATCAAACCGAGCTTATCTATTCCGTATTCGTTAATGGTCGTCCAGTGTTAGCTGTAACGGCGGCTAACGACATGAAGTTGGTGTCTGAGACAGAGGCGGCTAATATCATTGGGCAGGAGGTCTATATGAAAGCTGAACGTAAGTGAGGCATAGTAAATATTTTAGTTCAATGGAAGACCGAACTTAACTATTTTACCGTTTAATGGTCCACAGCATATCTGCGCGAGCCGCAGGCCACACCTTTAGCACCGGCCATACGCAGCGGTCAAGCGGGTTTCATAGATTCCATACAAAATAACACAGCTCTGGTTGTGGTTACTTCGGTAGCGATTTTATTGTTGCTGCTGCTTCTAGTAGCTCTTTTACTTATGGGTCGTTCGCGTGTGCGCGAGAAACATAGATTGGAGGAACAAAGGTACTTTTAATATCTCTATTCTCTTTTAATTTTTAATTTTCTAATTGCATACATTTTACACGCACAGGACAACAAGTCGCAATGAGCTACTCGCCGAACTGCAATCAGGGCGCGGCGCTTCCACTGAAACTGGTTTGGACACAGGCCGCTCAACCGCACACTCACGTGACGTTGGCGTGCAGAACTTCTCCTTCGAACACGACGGCAACCGGCATACGCGTGAGCCACGTATCAACTTCCCCAGCCCGCCAAGAGAACGTGAATATCGTCGGGATTCGCTTACCTCCTCGGAAAATACATCGGACTCTTCAGTCTACTGCCCCATTAATCCACCAGCACCAGATGTTCAACGCATGCTTGATGAAAAGGCTGCAACTCTATTCGAAAAACAACGTCGCAGGCATGCACACCAGCACGAGTACGATCAAGCAGAGGGTCGCGAGAACGCTGTTTACACTACTGTAATTACAGAAAAGAAACATGATAAGACACGTCGCAAGACGAAACGACGTTATCTCTCAGAAAACCGTGTGGGTTCTTTAGAGACCAGCCCACGCACACACCATGCAGCCCAATCCTCAGGCGATGAAGTTGTCAGCGGCTCGCTGGACGACGATCAATTAAGCCCCGCATACGCAAATTTCGAAAAGAATGAATCATTCAATCCGCACAACAACTACCATCGCAACAAATTGTTGCACCAAAAGAGCATGTATGGCGATAAGGATGACGGCGAACAGCTACAGCCAACAGAAGCTATAAATAAAGAGATCATACGCGCACTTCAGCCGACAGAAAGATCTTCTGATACCGGCAGCATTGGTTCGTTCTTATCGATGGCTTCTGTGAAAGCATTCCCGAAAAGTTCACTGCCGCAGCCATTGAATCGGGTCTTAGACCCGGTCTTCGTTACATACTACGATAATGTTGAAGATCCCACTGCGAAGAAACAGTCCTATAGCGCTCGTCCGTTGCCAAAACAGCAGAGCAGGCACGACACTTTAGACGCCACAACAATAGCAACCATAGAAAATTTCCCCACACCGAAAGCGCCATCGTCGCACGCGCATTTAGGCGCTTCGCAGAGTGATAATCCCGATCCGGGCGTTGTCGGGCCCATAGTTTGGGAAAGGCATAAGAAACGTTTGAATGAGACATTAGATGCTGATGCTGATGCGGGTAATGATGTTGGGGATAACCACAAAGAAGGGGAAAGGGAGCGTTATTGATTATTGAGTGCTCGTAGAAATTATTGTAGCCAAGCGTAGACTAGAGACTTCCACCACCGTAGCTAATGAGATACAAATGTAGACAAAAATTTTATATATTGATTGATTGCATGATTGATTGATTGCTCGAATACTAAACGTATGCGCATAAACAGACAGCCAAACAGCTCAACACTTGACACTCCCAAGCTCAATGCAAAATCTTCCCTATTCTACATTCTTCCTCTTCTTGTCTTCTTCTATTTCATACCATTCCAATAGACGATATGATAAAGAGATTTGACGAAAGGTACGGCAATAATCCGGGAGCGATAAGAAATCATTATGAGGATTTGCTTGAAAGCGCCATGCAAATGTATTCCAGTCAAGATGACTTGCCGATGCCGTTGCCGACTCGCGACTTCAGCCACAAGCGTAAGCCAACCAAGTGGGAGAATCGCGGTTCGTCGGCAGGAGTGACAAGGTTAGTAAAACTTTTTTCTCACTTTGGTTGTACATAAGTACATTGATTCGACATTTTAATTTCTTATCTTAGTCTCGCTGCACGCCTACATAAGGGCGAGGCCCGCCCGGCTACTGCCCAGCCAGCGAAAACCAGCAAATCTAATCAGTCCACTCAACCACCTTCGCCTGCTAGCGGCGCTTGGGGTGGCAGTATTTACGGTTCACATTCACCACTCACCCGTCCATTTAGCGCTGGACCCATTCAACGCTCGGAAACGTTTCAGGTAGTTGGTCCACCCAGATCGGCGTCAAATCGTTCGGATTTGTCAGCGGAGCCTCTTATTGAGGCTATTAAGAGCGAATTGCGTAGATATAAGGATGAACATCATTAAAGTGTTCATATATAGGATTAATGAAAAATACATATCGACTATTGTGTAATAAATAAGCAAACACGCTGCACAAATTTACTTCAAAATAGCACAAAATATAAATAAGTATCTACTTTTATTTTAAAATTTCGAGTGTACAATAAAATATATTGTTTAGGATTTAAATATAACCGATTTTATGTAGTTTACCAGCAGAGAACTAGTTTTCTGCAAATAAATCAACAGATACAAATCTATCGGGGGATTTAAATTTATTGATTTTTAAGTTGTAGCTAATTCTGTGCTTGTGAAGATGAAAGAAAGCGCCCAGAGGCGAAGTTATACCGGTAGAGCTGTTCAAAGCCAGCAGCGAACTATCAACAGGCTGAACTTCTTAAGCGCAATTAGAATCGTAGGATACTTTGCCCTATCCATAAAAAAGGTGATCCTGCTGTTTGCGTTAATTACTGCGCAATAAGCCTTCTCAGAATTGCTTATAAATTCTACTCGAGGGTACTGTGTGAAAGACTGAAGCACTTCATAAACCGAAGTTTCCAACCTGTCAGTGTGGTTTCAGGCCGTTCGTGCTGTAGCGAAAGTTGAATAACTTAAGAGATATTGTTTGACTACCTCCTACATGCTAGGTTAAACCGGGTACACCTACTAATGGAAATCACTTTACATCACCTACCCTCGCTCAGTCACCTAAATATAGAATTAAACCTTGGAGGAACATTTAAAAATCTTGCCAGACGGATAATACTTTTCTGCATTGAAAGAAAATACATACCAAAGGACTAGAAAATATTTAGCGCTTGCCAAAAAGTGTATCGTGGCAGGTTTAAGGTCAGGTCTTCACATTTTTGGTAGCACTAAAGACTAACAAATGGCATACACGATATCTTATGGGTCAGCCAAGTTAGCCTAACTTAACCTTCGTTCAACATTGAGATTATCGAGTAAGACTTTCTTCCAGGGATGCTTGGAAATGGTCTAGGGTAAACCAAAAGGTCTCTACTGTTGTCTACAGCGATGGGTTTAAATGAACACTGCGCTGGTTGCGACTAGTCCAAGTGGATTTTTCAATATATTTAAATGTAAGTGGCATAGAAAGCCTACCCCTACGTTGAATGGCTGAGACAAGATGGAGCAGTACTTCCACCTAAAAAAATGTGACAAATCAAAAAACAACAATTCCTGAATAGTAAAACTTTGATAGCCATAAACGTGCGGCTTTTTGCCATTACCTCTGCAAACATCCATCTTATCGAATCGAAGTTTTTGAAATTTGTAAATATATCGAGGTATCGAAGTTTCAATGTTATATTAGTTTATAGCGTTATCACTGCTTATCGAATTTTATCGTGCTACCAGAGTGAAACGTGTTACTGAAATTTGTCGATATCTTTCGCTATATGGAGCTATTAAAATTAACTGAGTTGTGGAAATTAGAGGGGTATCCACAGTTTATCGATTTATATCGAGATGTATAAATGTATTAATTTTTTAGTTATCGAGTTAAGCTTGGAATCAAGCTCTCAAGAAAACCCACAAAATGTTTTTATTGCATTATTTCTGCTGCTTGAAAAAGCAACTGCTTTTGCTGTAAATTTTCTTGAAGAAATAAATATACGGGCATTATTTCTTGAGGACTGCAAAATGATTTAACAAATTTTGATAGAAGAAAATTTCTTTTCCATTTCTTGTGCGTCATTTTAAATGCATTTTTCGTTACGACGACGTATTCTAATAAGACGAATACGAATTTGAAGCCGAATATGATTACTGCAATTAAAACGAATACGTCGACAACTACGAAGATGAATACCGAGATGTAAACGAAGACTCATGCGAAGACGAATACGGTGACGAAGTCGAATGGGGACCTAAAATGAATACGAACAAAAATAAAAATATAAAGACCATGAAGTACACAAATACAAATACTAAGTCGAACATTAACACGAAAAGGAATACAAAGAGGAATATGAAGGAAGAAGAGGACGAATACGAACACAAATACGAAGAACATTAAAAACAAGAATTTGCGTACGACGGCGAATATGAATACGAATTCGAAAAATAATATGAAGGCGAAAGCTGAGATGATTATGAATACGAATACGAATACAAATTCAAAGATAAAACGAAGACGAGTAAGAATACGAATATGATAGCGAAGACGAAGTGTAAGTTTAATATTAAGCTTAATAGCAAGTTTTACTTCTGTAGTGTGACCCAGGCGTAATCATTTTTTTGGATGGATGTGTAGTACTTTACATTCACAGTGAAGAAAATGCATTCAATAAATTTTGCACCGTTGTGCGTGTTTTTTTTTATTAGTTGCAGTAAAATTCAATATACGTATATTTTAATTTATCATGTCAAAAAGTAACAATTACAATAACACTGATTTACATTATTTAAAAATATAATTTCGTCATACTTTGTGCCATCTTCTCGCCAATGCAAGGCAAAATACAGTTTTGTGAGCACATTTTATGAATGTATGTGTGTACATATGTGTAAATATCCGGCATGTTCTGCAAATCGTACGATTCGAATCGATCGGTGCAATTTACAAAACATTTTTTGGTGATTTCTGAACGGTGAATGTGACGTAATTGATGTGTTTGTAGCAGTTTCCATTTAAAATATTTATTACTTTCATTACGTATGTATGTACAGTGAAAAATATTTAGCAAATCGCACCGATTTCAAATTTCGCGATGTACAGAACAGGCCTGTATAGTCAAGATTTTTTGCTTTTTTGTTGTGTGCATATTAATTTAATTTGTTTTTTTTTTTTGTATAATTCTTATTAGGCATTTGCGTACATATGTACATATATTAAATATAATAATTTCTGCTTTGAAACGCATTCGATTTTCGATTTAAATTTATTTATTTATATTTTTTTTTCTTTTCTAATATTTTCCTTATCAAGCTTATCTTGACGAAGCCGTAGTTGAAGTTGCAGTCGTTGTTGCCACTATGTATTTGTATTCATAGCCATTGCAAAAGTGTGTCATTTTGTTTAAGTAATTGTTGTTGTTGTTGTATATACATACATATACATACATAAATATGCATGTAGTTGTGTTAATTTTCAAAGGACTTTCATTGTTATGCATTTCTCGCGTGTGTGTGCTTTCGTGGGTGTGTGTGCGTCAGCAGTTGAAAATACAGGTGAAGAGGAGAGGGATGCTTGTGCGTACATATGTATACATATATACATACATATATATTTAATTTTGTATTTTCGTATCAGTTTTACATAGTACCTAAATCTGTTTGTCGTCGTTGCCTTTGCATAACAATGAAAGCCCTCACCAGCCCATTTGAAGAAAAAGTAACGAAAACAAAAGCGACACTAATGCAATTGGCATGAACTTTTAATCTTGTTTTTGTAGTTTAAATATTTATTTTTAGTTAGGTACGTTGAACACTCAAAACGTATACATATACACCGGTAAATCCGAATTGGTTTTTTCTTGTACAACAAATAAATAAATAGTGAAAAAAATTGAGGGCACATATTTTGCAAAATCAACAAATTCAAAAACTGTTATCTTAATATATATTTTTTATTTTTTATTTGATTACTTTTAGTTCAAACGCTTTTTACGCATCCTGTACATTTTCCTATCGCAAACGTTGTCTAGCTAAAATATTTTACTTGTTAATTATTAATAAAATTCTTGTGCCACTTTTCGTCCGTTAAGTTTTTAATCGATTTTTTTATTCTTACCTAAAAAAACTAATTTTATTTTATCTTAAATACCATATAATTTTACAGTTTGCATTGTTCCAGTAAATACATAAAATGCGTTTATCCAAGTGGGTTCCGCAGAGTGTCGTCATCGTCATTAGTGTTGTTCTTTTTGTTGCTATCCTTTAGCCTAATAAAGCTCTTTCTGGCCACTGGCCTTTGAATTGTGTTGTTGTTGTTGCTGTTTTACTTGTGCATCAACGCTACGCTTACCCAAACGTGGGCCGAACCATAGGCCTGAAGTAGCGCTGGGGCCAGTGCCCTTGTTCAGGGCTTGCTGCAATGCCATAATACGCGCCCATTTTCTTAACTCCGCATCGGTGCGTCCCACCCGTGGGAAGGCAATCAAGCTGGCGCGCTTTATTTCACTTTTCGGATATTCAACTGTTGAACAAAAATAAAAAAAAGTCAAATCAATTAGAAATTTCGCAATAACTCAAACAAAAAACAACCACACACGCAGGCTCACACTGCCGTACTCATTAATTTGCATTAGCAACTATATATATTTGTATGTACATATATAAGTATGTATGTATTTACCTTCATAGTCTTCCAACGAGGCGGGATACATGCCGTCGCCGAGCGCTGAGATGTCAGCTTCATGCAAATTATTGACCAGGTTTGGATCGCTGCGCCCGACGCGGGGGAAGGCTATGAGTCCGGATGGTCCACCAGCGGTGCGACGGTTTTTTTGATCCAATTCTGTAATAGTGAATATGTGTGGCTTTCTTAACTATGCATAATAGGCATTGTTGTTGTATTTAAATGTTAAATAAATAAAATTCAAAAATTTGCGGGAATACTTTGCAACGAGCTAGAATTTGATTTTAAAGATAAATAAACAAATGCGTTCAAATTATTTCCATTTTATTCAACTTTGTACGCTTGAGTGTAGGTATATAAAAACGCAGTAGATATTTTGGTTATGCAAATATATTAGCAGAAGCGGTGCGTATTCATTTCAGGTGGTGTACTGGGAGTTTTTAAAACATTGCCATCAATCGGCTGGAAATTAATTGTCAACGTTAGATGTAGAGAAGGGAAGTATCTGTTCTAGCATGCTGTGCCTGTCATTGTTAGCAAGAAGCGAATGCTTGAAATATTCATTGCATTGTTTTAAATCAGTGATTACCAAAGTGGTGCAATTGAACTCTCAGGTGTACGCGGGAGACTCTACGGACGTCTACGTTGGCGTAAAAAATGGGTTTTTACAGGCGGTAAGTGGGGGTCCACCAACTTTTATCTGGTTTCAATAGTACAAAAAAAAAATAAAAAATTTTGGCTAGACTTTACCTATCCATGCAGGCTCAAAAAATTAAGGGGAACAAAAAAAAATTCCAAATTTTTCGCTCATTTTTGCAAGGCTGTAATCGGTGAAAAATTGTCGTGTTGAGAATTTACAAAAGCTTTGAAGCTTTAAAACTCTTATTTTCACATTTATAATTTTCAGACTTCGTGGCTAAACAGTTTTAGGAGCTAAGGTTCTAGTGCAATATTTTGCAAGTTGTTTATTTATTTTTTGGTCCACGGACGTAAAATAATGTTTTCAGTGAGCCGCCATTTGGATCAGATAGCCGGTTTATTTAGCTTTAATTTACTTTTTTTTAGACCACCCTTAATTTTTTTTTAGTAATGTATTTTAAGAGAGTGTTCGCCAGAATTCCTTGTGGAGGAATAATCGAAACGGCAACAGCCCAAGACACGCCCTTTTAATATTCTTTTACTAAAAAAGTAGCATCACGTAAAAGACCGCATATATTTTTTATAGGTCCTTCATTCTCATATTACTGAAAAATAAAATTTTTGCAGTTTGCAGGGTATTCAATCCAATGCTTGCTAATTTTTTTGTCTACCCAGTTGCCAATGACTTTTTTTATAGGTCTTTCTTAGCATGCCAACAAAATCCCCCCGGACCAAGGATTCATGTTCTTTATGCCCCCAGCCCACTAGTACAGTATGTATTCTTGATTCTAAGGGCCGGTTGTTCAATGTCTGGTTAACACAAATCAGAGAACGACTGCTTCGTCGATCACATGTTACATGCAATATGTCGGAAACGTCGATAATGATGTTTAACTGGGAGGTAGTGATAACCAGACATTGAACAACCGGCCCTAAGAGAGTTTAAGATGCCGCTGCAATCATATACCATTTTTGATGCGATTAAGTATTTATGTAAGACATGAGTGCTAGTAAGACTGTCTGATGTCTTGCAGATGTATTCCAAAGATACATATGTATGCTTCATCTAAGGCAGTGATTCCCCAGGGGTCCACGGGAGACACGACGGGGGTCTACATTGGCGTGAAAAAAAGGGGGAGTGAACGAGTTGTAAGTGAGGGTCCACTAAAATTAATTAAAGTTTTTTGAATCGTCTATAGTGCTCTTGACGCACTTGTGCCCTTACCGTCACTTTGTGTCTTCATACGTGTGGATGCCTTAAAAGCCACCTGCAGACTAAAAAGAAACGGATGTTTATATAACACTGCGTGCGGGCGAGTTGGACATTGCCGGTGGCAGAGAGTCGATCATTCAGTGTTTATTCAGTGCCATAGGATAGTACGCCACCATTACCTTTGTTGAAGAGATTCTTATAATGTTGAGTCCCCTGAGGCTGAATGCTGCTTTAATTCCAGCACTGAACCAGGACTCACACATTAGTGATGGCTCCAAAACTGACTCTGGGTCAGTAATAAGCTTTACTTTTCTCTTGGCGAATATGCTTCGGTCTCCCAGGTTGAGCTATATGAACTCCTCAAAGCCATGGACTACGTGGTGGAAAAGAGGTGGATGAGGGCAGGGAGTTAACGTCTCTGCAGGGATAGCCAAGCTGCACTTAAGGCATTGGCCAGCCCTCTAAGTAAGTACTGGTTCGGAAATGCAAGTGTCTATAAAATTATGTCGGTAAACATGAAGAGCTTGCTTTACTCTGGGTGGCAGGTTACTCGGGAGTACTTGGTTATGAGACAACGGACCATTTGGCCACAGTTGGATTAGACCAGGCATTCCTCGATCCGCAACGAGCTACAGCACTCCCTACCTTGGCCATCGAAGCCACCACCAGAAACTGGTTGAATACTTCGCTCAGCCATCTGACTGGGAGCCATAGAGGGGATGTAAGTGGGCAAAAGTGATGTTTCCTTCAATATCAGAAGGTCTTTTAAGTTTTTTGTTCTTATTGATAGACGGGGCTGCATGCAACTTGTTGGACTGCCAGTCGGCAGTCACTTCACGTGGCACAAACATCTGACTGCGATAGGCGTAAATGACAACCCCATTTGCCCATCCTGCCTTGAAGAGCGATGAAAACAAAAATGATGCCATCAACATAAATAAACTATTTTACAAATTTTGCACGTCACTGAACAGGAACGGTTAGGGCTTTTATAAAACGATTCATTTCTAATTGTTTTTGCCCTTTGCATCAAAATATAATTTTTATAAAAAGTGGTCTTAGCAGCATCTTATCAGTCTTAGCAAGCGAAATGTATTTAGTTTTAAAAAGTGAAATAAAATAGTTTTTTAAATGTACCACATTTCGCTGCTTTTGAACTGGCGGAGATCTAGTTACTATGGGAACTGGTACGTTTTTGGAGATAAGGATCTAGTTTCACTTGTTCGGGGTTTCCAAGCAGATTATATACGAACGCAAATTGAATAAAAACCTCTCTCTGTACATCATTGATTTACAGTCGCAAAAATAGCCACTCCTGCTCTTCTCTAGTACATATGTATGTATATATGTCCATCTGCTCTATCAGGTAGAGTTCCTTAAGCAGAGATGCCAACGCAAATGAAATTATCTCAGAGATTCTCACAGCTGGCACATTTCAAACAATTTACTAAGCTTAACCTGCTTTCGATGGGGAATCTATGCAAATTAAACACTAAATTTAAACAAATTACCAGCACGAACACTATGAACGAACAACAACAACTGCCAGAATGGCAAGGATATTCGCATCAGCATGGACACACAACACAAATTTAAAAAAAAGGAAAAAAGGTGAAAATAGAGACAATGTAAGCTATTTGTAGCATAAGTAAGTAAGCAAGTAAGCAAGACAAAGCGTATTGCAAACATCAACCACGACCCAGTTCGTTTCCTTATTGGCCATCATAGCACATAGAAAAGAAAGTGGCGAAGGCTGTGAGTTGCTTATACGCAGTGGTTAACCGATGGGGTGCGCTGTTGGTGATCACAGTGAAAATCAGTAGTTGTTGCCTTTAGCGTGATTAATGTTTTCTAATACCTACATATGTATATGTATGGGTGTATGTAGATGGATATGCATAAGTAGCATTTAGATGCTTTATTTGTTAATGATATACGTCAAATTTTGGTTATTCTCGGCTACAATACTTGTTGAATTGTTATATTGCACGTTTAATAATATAGAGATGTAACTCAAAATTGACGTTTTTGGAGATTTCATTATGCAATTAATAAGCATGGCAAGTAGAATATGTTCAGTGTAATAGATAACCCAACTTTCCAAACATGGCGAAGATACTATGTGTCTTTTTGTATACCAATTGTATGAATTGATAAAGCTTTGATAGCTGATGTGTACCGGGCAACTTGTATAGTATTCTGGAGCATAAAAGGACTCAATCTTCACTTTCCAGGCTTATGTGCTCTAATTAGAGGATACGGGTTTAATTTTTAAGTTTAAAGTGCATTTTTTTTTTGTAAAGCTCGAATAATTAAAGGAAAATTTTAATTGGAAAACAAAACTGTATTTAAGTGAGAACCTATGTCCCAATTTAAAAAGCGACTTTTTATCATTTGTTTGCAAAAAAAAAAAACTAACTCATTTGCATAACCTCAAAAATTTTCGTATTAATTTCAATTTACCATTTTATGTAAGCTTTTATAATTTTTTTAACTTTCGGCAAACAAAATAGAAAAGGAAATTGATAAATTAAGATGTAGTGAGTTGATTTTATTTAACTTAAACCGCCGTATCCAGCCGTTTTAAAGAAAAACGGTTTTTTCTGGGCTATCATGCTATTACAAAAGGAGAGTTGTTTGAAGTTAGGCAGATTGGATGTTCGAAAAGAGAAATGTCTTTTTCGGTTGTCAGCCATGTTGAAAAAAATTTAGTGCTGTTCATATTTTTGAAAGTTCCATGAAACTCTTTGAAGAAAAAACGCATCCTTTTAGCAATTATTTATCAAAGAAAGACGAAAATTATGGAAAACAATTTGGAAAGGATGCTAAAATATTTAGATTTGCGTTTCTTGCTGATGAAGATCTTTTCGAAATTAAAAAGCCAACTGTGTCGACAGCAGCCGGATTCTAACTTTCGCTATCGCTAAAATGCAAAATACGACTTTTTTTAGCTGTCTCCAAAACTAGCGGTTCTGTTCTTTCATTCGCTAAAAATGGCTTAGCCTAAATTTTTTGGTGGCAAAAAGTCGTCCAATTATAGTGATAACTAGTGAAAATGGCAGCACCAATTTGGATTACATTTCATGTCCTGTAGCGTAGCTATGGCTATGTTACAAAGATACTTGCGCCGATTCGCAAAGACCATTGATGAGCAGCCTTCGCAAAAACGCAAATCCTTGAGAGAATTTACGGATTGAAATTTCGAAATTTTTTGCTCAACATGAATAGAGCTTTGAACAAACTTTTCACAAATTGGTTTCAAAAATATTCGTATTATTTTCTTTTAACCAGCGATTTTTGGTAAATGTATCACAAAGCAGCATCTGCATTCTGAATATAAATAATATCGGTGGAGAATTGGGAATACTGAAACCTTAAGTGAAAATTAGGTATTTCATGAAGAGTAGCTGCTTTAGGAATCTGTCCTCAACGCATTTCTGCGATACATGTAGTAAATATTTTTCTTTTTTTAATTTATGAATTTCGATAATACCATAATTAATCGCTGAAAGAAACCATTTATGTAAATGTGACCATACTTATTTTATTATGTAGCTCATTTTAAGGGGAGAAGGTTGGTTATGGCAAGAAAATAACTTGTGTCAAAACCCAGCTAATTGGACGAAGTTGTTGAGTGTAGTACTCATGTAACATGTAAACACATGAACATAGAAAAAAGCGGAAAAGCCTGTTTTACGAAAGCCAAGTCATGTTTTCACATTTTATTTACTACCTTTACACTTTTTGACGTTTGCCATCTTTTTACAATAAAATAATGGAATATTTTAGCTGATATTAATTTCGCACAGAAAAATTGCGTTACCCCGGTAACGTTTTAATTTTTTCCGCAATTAAGTTTTGCTGAAATTCTGGTGTTGCACATTTCTCGGGAAAATGCGAAAGGGGTTTACAAATTGAAAGTAAATTTACAGCGTGGCGACGAATAACTGTTACCCAGATTTTTTTGAGAAATAAAAGGCACCTTTACAGATTTTGTGAAAAAAGTATTTTGTTGTTAATTTTCCACAGATTTTACTTTAGTTGTATTAATTAGTTTTTAAATTTTAATCCTTATTTACATTTGCCAGCAGTGTAATCTTTGAGAGAAAAGTTCATTTGGCACGCAGGTCTTCGTCAGTTAATTTATTCCATATCTTCTGTAACCATAGGCACATTTTCTCCATTTTGGGTCTCTTATACTCCCCCTTTTGTCCAACATAAGGCCTCATACTCATAAATCGAATAGACTCGAAACTGGTGACTAGGACGGCCATTCATTCAACTAACCTTATACAGTTTTTTTCATTTTTGTATTTTTTTTATACAAAGCCTAAGAAAAAATACACCTGAAAAATACTTGCGTGCCAAATGAACTTTTCTCTCAAAGTTTAAACTGCTGGCAAATGTAAATAAGGATTAAAATTTAATAACTAATTAATACAACTAAAGTAAAATCTGTGGAAAATTAACAACAAACTACTTTTTTCGCCAAATTTATAAAGGACCCTTTTATTTCTCAAAAAAACCAAGGTAACAGTTATTCGTCGCCACGCTGTATTTACCGGTAACAAAATTTACCGGTAGAAAAGTTCTATAAATAGCATGACCGAGAGGCAATTATTTAAGTTGGCATGATTGCCGTACCGAGTGCTATACCTTCATAATAGTGCTGAGCGTTGCGCTTGCCAGCTTGTTTTTACTGACTTTTATGTTTTGTTGGCCACTGTAGCCGAAGGCTCAGAGGTGCGTTCTACCAATCCAAATCACCTGGATTCGTGCCCTGGTCAAAGAAATGTCTCAAAAATATTGAGAATTTGTTTTTTCTTAACACCGCTCGCCCCACGGCAGGCAATGGCAAACCTCTAAGTGTATTTCCGTCATGAAAAACCTTCTCATAAAATCCATTGGCTGTTCGAAGGCGGCGTAAAGTAGTAGGTGCCTCTTTTTTTGAAACAAAATGAAGATTTTTTTTTAAATATTGCACAAGGTTTCATATTTTTTTTTTATAAAAAATAAAACTCTTACTCATGAAAGTATTTTATAATTACAAATATAAAAGTCAGTCGGTAAAAATTTTTTTGCGACCGTGCTAGGCATTTTCTTCCATATAAAAAAAAAAGAAATGGACAACACCGTGAGACAAAAAATTATTAAAAATCTTCGTGATTTTCTAACGTCTTGAAATTTGCACTTTGTCCTACTGAAATTTAATCGGCTACATAATTACAATTAAAAAAAAAAAAACTGAATAAAAAGTTGGAAATTTTTGGGTGTAATTCGTAAAGTTTGTTGAATTTTTTTTAATTTTTGTACAAAGTTGGAAATGTGGATTTGTGTGGTGCTGGTTATATAATGCGCTAGACTTTTATAAAAAAGTAATAAACATTAAACAAACGAAAGAAATGAAGCCACTTGTTAAAATGTAACCTAACTTAACCAGCTGACCACCTCTTCAGGTTTCTTGATGAATCCGAATATCCGTCCTAAGTATTAGTTTAAAAACATCTGCTCTTTTGTACTGAAAACGTTTACGTTGACATTAAGAAACGGCCGCAAGATTTAATTTTTTAATTTTTTTAATCATTATCTCTTTCTATTTAGCAAGGTGTCGAAAAACGTGTTTCTGCAAAAATGTAAAGTTTGTTTGATTGGGAAAAATTTCGTTAAGGGCAACAAAAAAAAAACCTAGAAATGGGCGTGGTAGTTTAGAGACTAAAGTTAACAAAACACAGATTTACGCAGAATATGCATCAATAACATGCTATAGTTTAAGTAATGTTGAAGATATGAGCGTTGCAGTAAAGGATTATTTTCGAAAATGGACTTTATATATTTTTGGGAAATGCCGAAAAATCTTCTTAGTAAGTTTTCAAGACCATGGGTTTTTTTTTTAGTTTATTTCTTGCCTAATTTGATATATAACAGATTTTAAAATAAAAACATTTTTAGGCGCCGGGGCCACTCGTTCGTAAATTATGGTTTATGGTTTTTGCGCTACACATCCCCTAAATTTAAACTATATGTTTAAATTATGTACACATATATCTTAAGGGTACATGTGATTTACGTAGCTTCTCATTAAAAACGTTCCTGTAAATATATATATGGCTTTAATTATTTGAATTTGTCAAATTTTCTCGAGGTCCTTCCATATAAATCTTTATTTCCCGTCACGGAATGTTATGTCAAATAAATAAAAAATACCTCTGTTATAGCGGAAGTATGACACTTACACAAGATATTAGGTTTGAATATATATAACCATTTGGAAAAAAATAACCTTGTTTTTTTACTTAAGGAACAAACTTTAGAGCGGTTTTTCTTGCTTTTCTAATTGCTGCGATATAAGGACTTGCAGTTTAATTTCCAGATATTTAGAGTTTCTTTGTTTAACTTGCCAATAAAGTTTTTTGCATTGTTTCACTTACTTACAAAGCAAAGTTTTTACACTTAATTTTTATTTTAATTTTTACTTTTATTTTTCGTTATTGTTCATTGTGCAGTTCAGAAGTTTTAAACTCTTTTTTGTGTCACCTTTAAAACTCAAGTCAGTTTTGCGCACTTACCAGCTTCGGAAAATCCAGCTAAAGCCACGACAACAACAGTCGAACAAATGATAAAGTCCAAACAGTAGAAAGACTTCATTTTGATAAAATCCTTTGTTGTATAACAAAACTACCCGACAGCGTTAAAAAAGTAAAAAAATAAAAAATAAACGAAACTTTGAATTACAGTTGTTGCTTTTTTAAGCAGAAAAAATATCGGAATATTTAAAAATAACCGTCGCTAATTTGACCACCAACAAAGAGCACTGAGCGAATGTGATTGTATTTCTAGCTGAGTGAAAGTGTAAATGAATGGTAATGACAAGCGGTGCCGAGCAATCACAAATTGTCACAAGTTCTCACTCTGCTTACTGGTTGCTTTGCTTGTGTTTGGCTGTTCGCGTACTTCGTCTTACCACGTTCACCGAAATTATGCTTGATAGCTGTGAAATCGCATGTCCTTTTATAGGAAAAAGACAAAAGCCATCGCCGGCAGGCTAATGGCAAAGCAACAAAGCGCATCAATGTGGCAACATAACTACAAATACAGCTGCGGCAGCAACATTGGCACCAGTATCTACAAACGAACAGCGGTGGGGGCGTTAAGGGTGGCAGCAGCGGCTAGGAGCCCACGCATAGCGGAACTTACTTACCACTAACACCAATAGCCATTAATGGGATATGTGAGCAACATCGCCACTACACTACACCTATTTACTTGAAAGGGAACACATTGTGGGCGACGGGTGCCCTTACTGGGGTGTCGTGTGTCGGGTGTGTGCGTGTATACGTATATGTTCAAGCACACATTTCACTGCGAAAGTGCTACAGCTAAAACGTACGTATTCAAAAGAAATTGTAAAACAATTTTTTTTTTAAATAATTTTATTTCACACAAATCTACAAATTATGTATTTTTATATATGATTTTAAAACGAAATATTCGCAAAACCAAAACAAAAAGTGTAGGATTGTTTATTTTTTTTATTAAGGAATATAACTGAAAATTGATAAAATTACGCTGAAAATGTTCATTTTCAAAACTAAAGCGAAACGTTTTAAAATTTTTTTTTATGAAAATTCTTTTGTGATAAACTGGCACTTTTAAAATAAAACCGCAAACTTGATTACTGCAAATGTAATATGAAAACGTTTTAAAATTAAAACAAGTTTTGTTAACCTTTACAAATCTACTTATCATGAAAATGTTTTTAATTGTGTGAATCATTGGTCGAAAATAAAAATATTGTGCAAATAGAAAAGTACGTATTGTTCCTCTCATGCATAAAAAGTGAGCTTAAGGTCTGACTCGATTTTAAGTAGATAATAATTGATGTATTATGGAACGAATTTCCGTCATCCCTTGTCAAATTTGGT